TTTAACTACTCTCATAGCCTGGCCATGGGTCATCTTACCATGTTGCATCTCCTGCCGAGTCTTTCACTTTTGTAGGGAGTGATTTTCGTGTGCAAATTTGGACTGATCCCTCTAGATTTTCCAAGTGTGTGTTATGTATCTCTTCTGCCTCATTCCAGGGAATACAAATCAGGGACTTAACCATTCCCAGTAGTTTAGGTGCTTTATTGTAACTTATGTGTTGTGAAAGTTCTTTGTAACTCTCCAGGTCAGCAGTTTTGCCTGCCTTGAGGGGGCAGTTAGTGTACAGCAAATCCAGCCTGGGAGAACGAATGATTTGAAGAGAATCATCAGGGCTTGGCATCCCTAGTTTTGAAGGTTCTCATTATCATCCTATCATTTTTAGCAGATGTGGTAAAGACATTGTTGTGATCTTTGAAGGTGAGATCCTCTGACATTATCACTCCCAGGTCCTTCACATTAGTTTTTTGCCCTGTTGTGTGGTTGGAATTTGCTTTTACTCATACACTTAATTTTCTCGAGTTTTCTATATCGGAGGTTATATACCTGGAGGTATGCCTGGAGGATATATACCTGGAGAGATACACAGATAACCCGCACATAGAAGAGAGGAGCTTACGATGACGTTTCGGTCCAACTTGGACCATTTACAAAGTCACTCTCTTATATGTGCGGGCTATTTGTGTATCGTTCCAGTCACAGTATTGTGCCTTTTTGTTATTTATACCTGGAGAGGATTTGCATGAGAGGTATATCTGGAGGGTATATACCTAGAGGTATACCTGGAGGGTATATACCTAGAGGTATACCTGGAGGGTATATACCTAGAGTATACCTGGAGGGTATATACCTAGAGGTATACCTGGAGGGTATATACCTAGAGGTATACCTGGAGGGTATATACCTAGAGGTATACCTGGAGGGTATATACCTAGAGGTATACCTGGAGGGTATATACCTAGAGGTATACTTGGAGGATATTACCTAGAGGTATACCTGGAGGGTATATACTAGAGGTATACCTGGAGGGTATATACCTAGAGGTATACCTGGAGGGTATAAACCTAGAGCTATACCTGAGGGCCATATGCCTGTAGAGGCATACATGAAAAGGTATACCTGGAAGGTATATTGTGATTTTTTACACTTTTCTGTGATATTCTGCACTTTCATACACATTTTTACACTTTCCGGTGATATTTTACACTGATTTACACTTTCCAGTGATTGTATATCCTTGTATATGGTTGTATTAATGTGTATGGTTGTATTATTGTATACTTTCAGAGCACAACCATGCCAATATGCTGTGAGTGCCTGGGCACTGAGGGCAGTATACCTGGCGGGTTTATACACTGTGTGTCGTGTGGATCGTCAGTGCACACACAGTGTCTGACACTGGACATGTCAGCCTCTGTCAGATTGTGCCAGCAAGGCTGGCAGTGTGAGGACTGTAAGCCTTGTATAGTGTGTAGGAGAACTGGCTCTGAGGTGAGTGTTATACTGTGTTATACAGTGGACCCTCGACTAACGATATTAATTGGTACCTGAGAACGATTATTGTTAGTCGAGTTTTTTTAACGTTAGCCGAGGCAACATGTTAGTGTTAACATGTATCGTTAGCCGAATTTAACGTTACTCGATGCCATCGTTGGTCGAGGGTCCACTGTATTGTGTTATAATGTGTGTTATACCAGCAGTGTGAGGAGAATAAACTGTGTTTGATAATTGTACTTAGGTGTACCTGCACTTAAACTTCCATATTGTGAAATTGCCTTGTGCTCATCTCTGACGAGTTGCTAGTGTTTTTCTGACCACAGTCTGGTCTTTAAATGTTGATCATAATTCATGACCAGCGTATGCCCACTTCTGTGTTACAGTGGGTCACATTGGAACACAGTAGGTCACAGTGGAGCTCAGTGGGTCACATTGGAGCACAGTGGGTCACAGTGGAGCTCAGTGGAACACACATTTCTTCCACTGTGACCTCTCTTATAAAACTCCTCTACAGTGTGTGTTTTTGACAGTGCAGCAGTAAAAGTCAGTCAAAATGAGCCATATGGTACATATGGTATCGTTCCAGTCACGGTATTGTGCCTTTTTTTGTTATTGAGTCATATGGGTCAGTGGTCCCCCTGTATCTGTGCGGGATACCTTCCAAGGACTACCATAGATGTCAGAAACCCTGGATAGTAGTGAACACTATATAATTACAAGTAATTTGGGTTTACATATATAGCTATGATAAAGTATAATTGATAAATCACACACAATAAGTGGAGAATTATCACTTTTCACTGATGGGAAGAAATTCACAACTTCTCTTAGACTTCGAACAACTGTCACCATCACTACTTAAGTGTTTTGTGGCCATTATTATTAAGCAAAATTAAGGCTTATTTACAGGCCATTTTCAAATTTTTATAATTTTTACTTTTTGCATCGTCTTTTTTAGGCGTAGCTCTAATGTGTATTTAATAAATGATCGTGTAAACGTGTTTTTAGGCAAACCATACCACGGCCGGGATTGAACCCGCTGTCAGAGAGTCTCAAAACTCCAGCCCGTCGCGTTAGCCACTAGACCAGCTAGCCACAATAAGATTCGTCCAATTAGGTATATTTCTACACCATAGGAAGGTTAGCACAGGCACCACTGTGACCACAAATGCAAGTTTTTACAGACGAATCTCCAGCTAGCGTGGCCGTGACGAACTCTAGCTCAAGTCCCGGCCGGGGTATGGTTTGTTTGCAATCGTGTCATTACGATTTCGTGAGTCATGTTTTTAGGCTTTTATATGCATTGGCAAGTGAAAAAAGGGCTGTGATTTACTTTAAAGCGGCGGTTTGGAACGGGACTGGCCGTACTAGCCAGGTATGACTGTACATAGAGGAGCTTTATAGAGATAATAATAATAATAATAATAAGTAGGTCTTAGACAGGGATGTGTAATGTCACCATGGTTGTTTAATATATTTATAGATGGGGTTGTAAAGGAAGTAAATGCTAGGGTGTTTGGGAGAGGGGTGGGATTAAATTATGGGGAATCAAATTCAAAATGGGAATTGACACAGTTACTTTTTGCTGATGATACTGTGCTTATGGGAGATTCTAAAGAAAAATTGCAAAGGTTAGTGGATGAGTTTGGGAATGTGTGTAAAGGTAGAAAGTTGAAAGTGAACATAGAAAAGAGTAAGGTGATGAGGGTGTCAAATGATTTAGATAAAGAAAAATTGGATATCAAATTGGGGAGGAGGAGTATGGAAGAAGTGAATGTTTTCAGATACTTGGGAGTTGACGTGTCGGCGGATGGATTTATGAAGGATGAGGTTAATCATAGAATTGATGAGGGAAAAAAGGTGAGTGGTGCGTTGAGGTATATGTGGAGTCAAAAAACGTTATCTATGGAGGCAAAGAAGGGAATGTATGAAAGTATAGTAGTACCAACACTCTTATATGGGTGTGAAGCTTGGGTGGTAAATGCAGCAGCGAGGAGACGGTTGGAGGCAGTGGAGATGTCCTGTTTAAGGGCAATGTGTGGTGTAAATATTATGCAGAAAATTCGGAGTGTGGAAATTAGGAGAAGGTGTGGAGTTAATAAAAGTATTAGAGGGCAGAAGAGGGGTTGTTGAGGTGGTTTGGTCATTTAGAGAGAATGGATCAAAGTAGAATGACATGGAAAGCATATAAATCTATAGGGGAAGGAAGGCGGGGTAGGGGTCGTCCTCGAAAGGGTTGGAGAGAGGGGGTAAAGGAGGTTTTGTGGGTAAGGGGCTTGGACTTCCAGCAAGCGTGCGTGAGCGTGTTAGATAGGAGTGAATGGAGACGAATGGTACTTGGGACCTGACGATCTGTTGGAGTGTGAGCAGGGTAATATTTAGTGAAGGGATTCAGGGAAACCGGTTATTTTCATATAGTCGGACTTGAGTCCTGGAAATGGGAAGTACAATGCCTGCACTTTAAAGGAGGGGTTTGGGATATTGGCAGTTTGGAGGGATATGTTGTGTATCTTTATATGTGTATGCTTCTAGACTGTTGTATTCTGAGCACCTCTGCAAAAACAGTGATAATGTGTGAGTGTGGTGAAAGTGTTGAATGATGATGAAAGTATTTTCTTTTTGGGGATTTTCTTTCTTTTTTGGGTCACCCTGCCTCGGTGGGAGACGGCCGACTTGTTGAAAAAAAAAAAAATAATAATAATAATAATAATAATAATAATATTAATAATTCATTTTATTTATACAGGAGGTGTTACTAGCACCTTGTTCCTGGTATATATACAGTGGGTGTTACTAGCACCTTGTTCCTGGTATATATACAGTGGGTGTTACTAGCACCTTGTTCCTGGTATATATACAGTGGGTGTTACTAACACCTTGTTCCTGGTATATATACAGTAGGTTTTACTAGCACCTTACTGCTGCTATTTATACAGCAGGTGACAAAAAGGCACAATACTGTGACTGGAACAATACTCAAATAACCCGCACATAGGAGAGAGGAGCTTATGACGATGTTTCGGTCTGACTTTGACTATTTACAAAGTCACACTGACTTTGTAAATGGTCCAAGTCGGACTGAAACGTTGTCGTAAGCTCCTCTCTTATATGTGTGGGTTATTTTTGTATTATTCAGTAGGTGTTATTATTACCTTGTTCCTGGTATATATGCAGTGGGTGTTACTAGCACCTTACTGCTGGTATTTATACAGGAAAATGTGTTACTTTAAGCTCTTATAGAGTTAATATTACGAGTATTGCATGAATGTTTCTGAAGGTTCACGCATATAGTTTTGCATTTTATGTTGCAGGTGTTGGGGAGCCTTCTAATATGTAGTTCGTGTGACGACGGCTATCACGTGTGTTGCGTCTCACCGCCCCTAGAGCAACGACCAACTACCCCAAGCTGGTGTTGCTCTGTCTGTACCAAAGGGCCGCAAGGCACCAATAATAGCGGCCGTAGTAATACGGCTTCGCCAACGGGAAGTACGCACTGTGAGGCCGGCACCGCGACCAATAATTCCGCCATAAATAGAAAGGGAAGAGGGAAGTCGCGGAAGGGACTTCAAGACACGACTTCCAGAAGTAGAAAGTACAGCTCCTCATCGTCCAGTTCTCGTTCAAGGTGAAGTGTTGATTCCAGTGACTTCTTGTCTAGTTCTTACTGACATGTGTTGATTCTGGTGACTTCTTGTCTAGTTCTTACTGACATGATGTGTTGATTCCAATGACTTCTTGTCTAGTTCTTACTGACATAGTGTTGATTCCAGTGACTTCTTGTCTAGTTCTTACTGACATGTGTTGATTCCAGTGACTTCTTGTCTAGTTCTTACTGACATGGTGTTGATTCTGGTGACTTGTCTAGTTTTTACTGACGTGATGTGGTACTAGCATAGACACACCTCTCACTAACATGATATGTTGATTCCAGTGACAATTTGTGTAGTTGTTACTGACATGATGTGTTGAGTCCAGTACCTTTTTGTGTAGTTCTTACTGACATGATTTGGTACTAGCATTACCATAACTTCACACATCTAAAAACATGTTGAATGTTCTATTATACAGTACAAGGTGTTGCTAGCACCTCACTGCTGGTATTTATACAGTAGAAAGTGTTACTAGCACCTTGCTGCTGGTATTTATACAGTAGAAGGTCTTATTAGCAGCTTACTGCTGGTATTTATACAGTAGAAGGTGTTATTAGCACCTTGTTCCTGGTATTTATACAGTAGAAGGTCTTACTAGCACCTTACTGTTGGTATTTATGCAGTAGAAAATGTTACTAGCACCTTGCTGCTGGTATTTATACAGTAGAAGGTCTTATTAGCAGCTTACTGCTGGTATTTATACAGTAGAAGGTGTTATTAGCACCTTGTTCCTGGTATTTATACAGTAGAAGGTCTTACTAGCACCTTACTGCTGGTATTTATGCAGTAGAAGGTCTTACTAGCACCTTGTTCCTGGTATTTATATAGTAGGTGTTGCTAACACCTTGCTCCCTCAGTGGAAATTCACAATACTAATTTCTCGTCTGTGCTTCAGATCAGCGTCTCGGTGGCGGAAAAGGAGCGGAAGCGAGCAGCGGAAAGAAGCGGACAGTATCTCAGATGATAGTGATGGTATGCATAGCCATCTTGGGCCTCCCAAGAAACTTCCTAGTGAAAAGTTGTCCAAAGAAAAAGCTAAGTTTTTCAGACGAAGTTTTGGGGAGAAAGGTAAACTTAGAGGTGTTAAGAGTGACGTACGGGTGGAGTGTGAGGGTATCGCGGGTATGAGTGCGTGCGGCGGCGGGCACAAGAAGCGCGGTGAGGCGGGTAGTGAGGTTAGTTCTAGCATACCAGACACCAGCACAGACACTAGTAGTAGTGATGAATCAGGTGCTGATGGGGCTTCAAGAACGACGACCCATCAGGAGAGCCACCCAGTCACCTGTAATCAGAACGACACCACGGGAGGCAAAGGTCCCGCCAGGAAATCGGAATCGTTAAGCGAGGGTGACTCGGAGAGCGGCACCCCACACGAAGAGCGAAGTTCCTCGTCGACGAACTCCTCGAGCGCCATGTTGGCGTCGGGGCACCTCAGGGGCTTGTTCGACGGTTTGAGTCACTTGTACACGCCGTACGACTCTCGTAAGAGACCCATACAGGAAAGACCTAAGCATAAAGGCCCTAAGAAAATAGTGAAATTGTCAAGAGAAGGGGAGTGTGTCGGTGATAGTGGCGTAGAGGGCGGGGCCAGAGTGAACGACAGTGGCCAGGGTTCAAGACGTCTCGGTGAGTGTAGTGGTGTGGGTGGTAAGGGAAGCGAAAATGGGGGGGCGTGGTCGACGTGGGCGGCACATAGGTGGTCCAGCGGCAGTGCTGGGGCCGGCTCGGTTGGCCCTAGCGATGTCCCCTCAACGGCGGCCGGGGCCAACCCCCTGGTGGGCAAGACGGGCGGTGGCGGCCAGCCCCAGGCAGCGGACGGACGCAAGTGTCGCAAGAGCAGGCCTGAGGGATCCAGCGGCCAGACTGGGGGTCAGGGTAAGGCACTCGGTGGACCGTGATGCGCTGCTACTGCCACCTTCCTGCACCACTCTCATAACGCTTCTCTGCTTCTGCTGTTGCTTCTGCTGCTGCTGCTGCTGCTTCAGCATCTTCTGCAGACTTGTGTACTTTTGCATGGCTAGCTTATTTTCCCTTTTAATAAATTTCTAACTCCTCACCTTATGCTTTTTATTTTTTATTTATCTACACTACCTTGACTTGCTTATGTTTGCTGTTTAATGTTGCAGCTGTGTTGCAGAGATTGTTACCTTATGGTTGAATATTGCCACCTCTCCCATTGTGTATTTAGCATAGGGAAATGCCAGCCCGACTGCATATCCCTGATAAGCTTGAAGAAGCTGACATAAGCTGCAGGATAAGCTTTTATTGGATCAGCATTTTGCTCTGTGCAAAGCTCTGGTTGCTATACACAGAATGAAATGTTGCACCAACATTACCTGTGATCAATTCAAAGGATTTGCAGCGCATGATTTTCCTCTTCAATCTGGAGAAGCAACGAAGATATTAATATTTTATATTGATACGTTATATCTGAAGTCTATATGTCATAGTGTATATATTGAATTTTTACCAGCTGATAGGAATAATGTACCTTATGTGCTCTCACGTTTGTGCTATTGTGCCTCAACAAGGGACTGGATCATACACAAGTAACCCACATATAGGAGAGAGAAACTTATGACAACCAAGTCGGACCCAAGTTGGACCAAATTCGGATCGAAGCCAGACCGAAGTTGGACCAAAGTTAGACTGAAACATCATAAACTTCTCTCTCCTATGTGTGGGTTTATTTGCACAGTGTTCCAGTCACAGTATCGTGACTTTTTATTCTCTATGCATTAAATCATTCCATAATTTTTTGAAATGGACAAGTGGGTCATGTAGCAGGAAGATTGTTACCCCCTAAAATATTGACGATTTCAACTGAAGGTTCAGTTTCAACTAGCGCTTGATCGCTTTTATGCATGAGTAGGATGGAGATGTGCACGAGGTGACTGTATACCAGTAGTGGCATGTGAGATTCCGCATGACAACAATATGTACTGGGGTATGAGGGAGTAGATCGTCGTGTTTCTTTACTTCGCGTAAATCTGTACGGGAGGGCGACGCATGTACACCTTGTTGTTGTTCCACATTTTTGTTACCTTTGAATTGAGCCATTGTTCCACATGCCAGCTATTGTCACCGGCTTGTGGAACAACAACTCAGTTGAAAGCCAATGAAAACATGGAACAACGAAAATAGGTGCTGTACACTAAGTCTTCAACTTACAAACATATTAGGGACCTTCTGTATTATGTATAATAATGATATACACAATAATGATATAATACACAATTCAGAAGATTCTCAACGTGTTTGCAAGTCGAGAACTTATTGTATATGCAGGGTCCTGCTGCATATGCGGGGCCTTCCCGTATTCCTATCGAGTTTTGTTATTTTTTTTTTTTTTTTGAAGCTTTTGATTTTCCTCTGCTCTCTGGTTGTAGTGTATTGTTACTGGCAGTGTTCCTGACGGTCACCACGAGAGTTGCCCCGGTTTAGCTTTCCGATTGGCAGATTTATGGGAAAAAGTGGCGATAAATAACATTCAAAGAACACCAGACAGGGGATGATAAACTAGAAGCTCTTGTCTCCGTTCTAAGTAGAAAAGGAACTTCTCGCTTTGAAAATTCGCGCCATCTGACTCCACCAGACTATAACACGGTCTCTAACCCTCAAAATTTGGGATCCAACTCCATATATAACCGGGTAGCTTCTCAAACCCCGAACTTTGTCCACTATAGTGGGATTAGAGGCGGTGTCCTTACCTTAGTTACCGGGGCCAGGTTACTCTGGGCTCGGTGACTTCCATTACGATTCTTATATATGTTAAAAGCTCCTCAGTAATAATCATTTGTGTTCTAGATATTACTAATGCCTAAACACCTTATTTTTCTAATCTGTACTAAAGTAAATCGTTTGTATTTTTTTGGATAGAGTCACAAAATGTTGCTTATTGAGTACTGTGTAAGATGATTACTGTACTCCTGTACAGGTGGTCCTTGACTTAGGATGGGGTTACATTACAATGATCCCATCGTAAGTCAAAAATATTGAGTCAAGAATGTTGTAAGTTGAGACAATTGTAAGTTGAGACTATTGTAAGTTGAGACTATTGTAAGTTGAGACTATTGTAAGTTGAGACTATTGTAAGTTGAGACTATTGTAAGTCGAGACTGTCGTAAGTCGAGACTGTCGTAAGTCGAGACTGTCGTAAGTCGAGACTGTCGTAAGTCGAGACTGTCGTGAGTCGAGACTGTCGTGAGTCGAGACTGTCGTAAGTCGAGACTGTCGTAAGTCGAGACGATCATGAGCCAAGTCAATATGAATACAATATGCTACATAAGTAAATAAACAATTACTGTCACAGAATCAATAAACAAATAATTACTGTAACTGAGTAAATACCAGTATTGAAAAGTCAATAAATGAATACAAGTTAGGGACTTGACACCTCCATGCTGGGTAATTATCTTAAGTTTCGTCCCCAAAGTAATTGTTGCTGCACCATTGTAAAGTTGAAATATTGTAAGTTGAACCATCGTAAAGTCCAAGTATTATAAGTTTAACCATTGTAAGTTGAAATATCATAAATCAAACCACCATAAATTTGAAATGTCACGAGTTAAAATATTGTGAGTCAAAATATCATAAGTCAAGGACCACCCGTACTTTACATTGTGAGTAGCTGTATAATAATAGTCATTAATACCATTGATTTCACTGTACTTCTATGATATGGTAAGAATATTATCTTGGTAGATGCAGAGGTGAATACTGACGTGATACATTCACCGATCGCTGTGGAGAACAAGGTAACGATGGAGAAGGTACAACGCAACTCTCTTCCACCTGGGGTCACAGACAGGGACCTAGAGATGTTCAAGAAGGCTCAGGAAAGAGCATCGGAGGTCAGTACTGTGTTTACTTCTCTCTTACTTTTCAGTTGGTGTTCTGTTTAAGTGGATGTTTATACAGTGATTCACACAGTTCAATAGTTATATTATGAATGATTCACTGTATCTTCTTTCAACACACCGGCCATATCCCACCGAGGGAAGGCAGCCCAAAAGGAAAAGCGAAAGTTTCTCCTTTTAAATTTAGTAATATATACAGGAGAAGGGGTTACTAACCCCTTGCTCCCAGCATTTTAGTCACCTCTTATGACACGCATGGCTTATGGAAGAAGAATTCAGTTCCACTTCCTCATGGAGATAAAGAGAAATAAACAGGAACAAGAACTAGTAAGAAAATAGAAGAAAACCCAGTGGGGTGTGTATATATATGTTTGTGATGAAATTAAGACACATGTGCCACATCTGGGTATCTTTATTGTAGACGTTTCGCCATCCAGTGGCTTTATCAATACTCGCACCTACTCCTAGGTTGAGGGACTGATTACCTCATCTTCTGTACATAGTTCTACTGTCTTCAAGTTATGTCCTAGAATTTGTATTGATAAAGCCACTGGATGGCGAAACGTCTACAATAAAGATACCCAGATGTGGCACATGTGTCTTAATTTCATCTTGTCGGTATTATATACCATTCTTACACAACATATATGTTTGTACATGCATATGTAATGTGACCCAAGTGTAAGTAGAAGTAGCAAGACGTACCTGAAATCTTACATGTTTATGAGACAGAAAAAAGACACCAGCAATCCTGCCATCATGTAAAACAATTATAGGTTTCCATTTTACACTCACTTGGCAGGACGGCGAGTCACAGTATATATAGGAAATATTAAAGTGAATAGTTACGCAGTTATATTATTGACGATTTAATATATTGAAGAGTTAAAGAATATAATACATGTTTAGAACATGAATATTTCTTTTTCTAGCAACAAAATGGCCGCCTCCCACCAAGGCAGGGTGGTCCAAAAAAGAAAAACAAAAGTTTCTCTTTTTGACTTTAGTAATGTATATGGGAGAAGGGGGTTACTAGCCCCTTCCTCTTGGCATTTTAGTTGCCTCTTACGACGTGCATGGCTTATGGAGGGAGAATTCTGTACATGAATGGTATACAATACTGACAAGATGAAAATTAGACACATGTGCGACATCTGGGTATCTTTAATTGTGGACGTTTCGCCAACCAGTGGCTTTATCTGTATTGATAAAGCCACTGGATGGCGAAACGTCTACAATTAACCCTTTCAGGGTCCGTCCCGTAGATCTACGGCTTTACGTTCAGGGTCCAAACCGTAGATCTACGCCAAAATTCTAGCGCCGTCAAATTTAGCAGGAGGAGGCTGGTAGGCCTACATCTAAGAGAATGGGTCTGGGTGGTCAGTGTGCACACCATAGAAAAAATCTGGATGCCCACATGGCATTGTGGGAACACCGGCAAAGTAGCTTTGTTGATAGTGCCTGGCAGCAAGGAAGCTCTCACTCCCCACTCACTCTCCAGGCGAATTCTGGCTCTCCTCTTCACAACGTACAGTTCTAAGACTGATGGAAGTGGAGCTGAAGACGAATTCTATGGTTTTGAGCCATATGGTACCATTGTGCCATATGGTACAATGGTACCATATGGTACAATGGTGCCATGTCATACAATGGTATCATATGGTACAATGGTACCATATGGTACAATGTACGTATAGTACATTGTACCATATGGTACAGGGTACAGGGACCCTAATGGAAATAAATCTGTCTGACTTTTTTGGGTTATCCTAGGTTCTCCAAACATATGCTGCTAAGTATGATATTCTATGTAATTTTATTTGTGTATAACTAAATAAACTTACTTATGATGCCACATGCACTTGAGTAAGTTTATTCAGGTGTACAGAAATACAATTACATAGATTATCATACATAGTAGCATATGTTCCTTGATAATGTGAGTAGTCACGAAAGCGCTTGGAATTTCTCTATTCTTTCAGAGTGGTTGTTTTGCATAGTAGCATATGTATAAAATCCTAGGATAACGCAAAAAAGTCAGGGTGACTTATTTCTATAGTTATCCCTGTATCTGTACCATATGGTACCCTGCACCATATGGTACCCTGCACCATATGGTACCCTGCACCATATGGTACCCTGCACCATATGTTATCATGTACTGCATGGTACCCTTTACCATATAGTACAATGTACCATATGGTACCCTGTAACATATACCGTGTACCATATGGTCAATAGGTGTTGGTGGCATGAGACACCAGCCAAGACTGAGTGAGTGGCGACGCAAGCTAGCTACTGATTCCGCAGTTTCCGATTATTATTATTATTATAATCAAGGGGGAAGCGCTAAACCCGGAGGATTATACAGCGCCTGGGGGGGGGGATGTGGAAGGCATTCAGGCTTATTTCGGGGAACTGGAGCACAGATCCAATTCCCTAAATCAAGAGCCCCTCACCAACATCAAGGAACCTTCCTTGAGGGGCGCAGTTTCCGAGACAAAGTGCTTTGTCATCCACCTCAAGGAACACGTCAAGTTCCTGTACACTTGTAAATATATAATAGAACATTACTAATATACAACATTTTTGCATATTTTTGCTGTAAACAACTATTGTAACCAAAATAATAATGAAAATATTAGTGTGTTGAATACAACAGTACCATATGGTACAATGAACCATATGGTATCATTGTACTGTATGGTACAATGTACCATATGGTACCGTTGTATCATATGGTACCATATGGTAACATTACACTGTATGGTACCATAAGGTACCATTGCACCATATGGTACCATTGTACCAAATGGTGCCATTCTACCATGTGGTACCATTGTATCATGTGCCATTGTGCCATATTGTACCATATGGTACCATTGTGTCATATGCTATTGTACCATATGGTACCATTGCACCCTATGGTACCATTGCACCCTATGGCACCATTGTACCCTATGGCACCATTGTACCATATGGTACTATATGGTACCATTGTACCAAATGGTGCCATTCTACCATGTGGTACCATTGTATCATATGGTACCATTGTATCATGTGCCATTGTACCATATGGCACCATTGTACCATATGGCACCATTGTACCATATGGTACCGTTGTATTCAACACAACCGCACTAATATTTTCATAATTTTGTTTACAATAAACTTGTAAACAAGTTTTGTAAGCAATATAATGATAGACAAATTAGTGCAGTTATTGTGTTGAATACAATGAGTGTACACTTATACAATATACATTATATTGGTCTCACAGGCCACAAATGTTATTAGAAAAAGAAAAAGATTAGAAAAGAAAAGAAAAAAAGTATAAAAAAACATAAAATAAAAAAACGGGATTTTGCGGAAGTCACTAATGTTGCTGCCACCCGGTCATTTTGGGCCAGCTTCCCACCCCTGTATCTCGGTAAGTACTGATCAGAAAAAAAACTTTTTTTTTTTTTGTCTTATTACCTTCACAAAAATATACTCTTTAATTCTGTAAGATTTTTTTTTTTTCTTCAAAATTTCTTGGACACCGGAGCACCACTTCAGATTTTGGCCTTGGACCCTGAAGGGGTTAAAGATACACAGATGTCGTACGTTTCTAATTTTCAGGGAGAATTCTGCTCTATACTTGAGTATTTGTAGTAAGGAAACATTCTTGTGCTTGACAGGTTTCTTCAGTCAACACTGGGGATAATAGTGTAGTTCTGAGGGGGCCAATCCCTAAATTTTGTTGGAGTCAGTCCCTAAATTTTGTTAGGTGGGGGGTCGATAAAGTCAGCATCAGGAATAAGTTTAACCTTGACTTTCAGGGTCGTGACCCCTGATCTCAAACTTGCTCTCAGGGTTGAAAAATTAAAAAAAAAAAAAAATGTAAAATGGCAAGATTGTTTTTCCTAAGGTAATGAAACCAAAAATGCAAAATTTGATGGAAAACTTAGGGAACTGTTCTCTTGCAAAGTTAGTGGTCTTGACAATATTTACACATTGGCAATTTTGCCCACTTTGAGCCCTATTTTTGGCCAGTTCCTTTGTTTCCAGTCCACAAAACAGCTATTTTGCTAGTATTCCTTTTATTCTGTCAAATGAGTACAAGAAACCATCCCATTTACCTATTTCAACTACCCAATAAAGTAATCAGAAATTGGTAATTTGGCTAATTTCTCACAAAATTCAAAAATTGCCAATTTGTAAAATGAGGTCCAGAATAAATGTAGACATTCCTGGCACTAAATAAACATTTCCTCTGCTCCTTAGTTGTGTCTCCAGGCCTCTCCAGGCCTCCCCAGGCCTCTCCAGGCCTCCCCAGGCCTCTCCAGGCCTCCCTAGGCCTCTCCAGGCCTCCCCAGGCCTCTCCAGGCCTCCCCAGGCCTCTCCAGGCCTCCCTAGACCTCCCCAGGCCTCTCCAGGCCTCCCTAGACCTCCCCAGGCCTCTCCAGGCCTCCCTAGACCTCCCCAGGCCTCTCCAGGCCTCCCTAGAGCCTCCTACCAGGCCTCTCCAGGCCTCCCTAGACCTCCCCAGGCCTCTCCAGGCCTCCCTAGACCTCCCCAGGCCTCTCCAGTTCTCCCCAGCCCTTCCTAGGCCTTCCCAGGCCTCCCTAGGCCTCTTTTATATTACACTTATTTTTCATTTTGAATTTTTATTCTCACACAAAAAAATAGAAGATTTACTGTTATGCAGACTACTGCATATACTACTGCATATACTGGGATATTGGCAGTTTGGAGGGATATGTTGTGTATCTTTATACGTATATGCTTCTAAACTGTTGTATTCTGAGCACCTCTGCAAAAGCAGTGATAATGTGTGAGTGTGGTGAAAGTGTTGAATGATGATGAAAGTATTTTCTTTTTGGGGATTTTCTTTCTTTCTTGGGTCACCCTGCCTCGGTGGGGGACGACCGACTTGTTGAAAAAAAAAAAAAAAAAAAAAATGTATAAAAATTTTCAGTGCATTCCTAAATGTGTATTATACTGTCCAGTTG